CAAGGGTCAACATGGGATCTCAAAGGTCACAGATTCTGATGAGGCTGCCGAATCTATCCACGGAACGTGGAGAAAAGCCTGGGGTAACTAAATGACCAGTCAATCTTTGATATTAAAAAACAAACAAACAAACAAACAAAACCTTCCTTTCCAAAGGACAAACATGAAAATGAGCTGGAAAATGATCGGGGAAGCCTCATCTCAGTGGAAACATGCTTGACCATGCACTGAATGTGCATGAATCCAGAACCACTTTCTCTTAAGACAAATAAAAACATGAAGGTGCATTTTGAGTTATTTAATCCTTTAAAACCCTACAAGCCAGTGACACCAAAGCTCACATCTGCACCTCAGAAATTCAGTACGATAGACAGGGATACACACACACACATGCAAAACCCACAGCAAGGCATCATGGCCAAGCTGGTCCTCACAATGCCCTGGGACTGTCAGGTATTAATTCCACACTGGGTGCCTTTATCCACATCTTTGCTTACCAGATCTAGGCTATGAGCTAGGAAAGTACACTGACGACCAGGTAATGGTGTGGGGCTCTCTGTAGCATGCTGTGCTTTATGTACAATCACCTTGCCTTGCTCCAAGGTGGGTACAGAGCAGCTACCTGCTCCACTAACTCTGGATGTGCCATGTACACTGTTCTGACCCACAGGAGAAGAAGTTATGAAGGCACCAGTTCCTGAACAACCTTTAAGAGGCAGGTGGGTTTCAGCTTTCTCTCTTGGAAGTCTGTCCCCACCCCATGAAAACCACGTGAGCCGAGGAATGGCACTCCAGAGAGAGACAATAAAAGGAGCCATAGCAGTCAGCTTTCCTGTCTCTGTGACACAATACCCAACAACTTAAAGAAGAGATCTTTTAGCTCGCAGTTTCGGGGATTCAGTCCATGATCGGCTGGGTCCAATGCAGGAACATCATGGGGGAAGGGTGCAGCACAGCAAAACTGCTTAACTCATGGTGGCTGAGGAGCGGGGGGCCAAAGCTAGAGAAGAAGGGCTAGGTAGACCCCAACCAAGATCACACCCCTGTAACCCACCCATCCAGACACACCCAGAACTGTACTCTACTTTCTACCTGATGTTCCTTAATCCAGTGAAGTTGTCATATCAGGATTAATGGTTGCAGACACACACTCTACTCAAACAGAAGCCTAAAGACAAATGTGGCTAAGCTCCACTAAGCCTCTGCCACAAAGACACTGAGGCTGTAAAGTTATCTGTTGCTGTCAGCCAGAATTTAGAGGGGGATGTTTGTTACACAGCACTACTGCATCAGAGTGAATTGATGGAGTGAACTATGGAGGCTTTGGGCCGGAAGCCACAAGAATTGCATATCTGAGAGGTTTTGTAACTGTAAGTGACTCGGGTCCGACCTTTACTGATCGGAGTCTCCTCCTCCCTGACCCCATCCACCCCAGGCTCCCCCCCCATCATCTTTCTATCCTCCTTGCAAGGGCAAGTACAGCCATGCAGCCCAGCTGCACACTCACACTTGTTCACATAAAAGCATCCCATGTGCCTCTGGCTCTGCCCCAGAGATAGCCTTCCTGCTTGCAGCTCTTTGGCACATCATCCACAGAAGCAAGCCAGGAAGTGGCCATGTATATGAGGCTAAAACTAATGATCACACTTCACTCTCCCCTTGCCTGGGTGGGGGGCAGAGGGGCTTTTCCTTTTTGAAGAATTAGAAATGCAGGTGGTCCCCAGGGATGCAGTCTTGTTTCAACTACAGCTTGTGACAACTACAGCTATAACATCAGGATCTCAGGCCCCATCACACCTGTAGATGCTCTGGAAAATGTTCCCATTAGATGGGCGGACTTTCAAAATAACATGCTTCTCTTGGGACCCCAGGATTGGGGGGACCTTCAATCTGCCTGAGAGAGGGTGATGCTGGCTCTCTCCACATCCACATCTCCACCCAGTTCTGTACCTGCTTGTCTCTGCTTTTTACCTCACAGGAAGAAATCTAAACAGAAAGGCTTTGCCTATAAGAAAATCATACTCCTAAAACTCACACTAAGCATCAGCTCTGCATTGCATGAGTTTTTCACTTTTAATCCTTAAACCACCTTTCTCATGACATGAGCACGACTGCTACAAATGAGGAAACTCAGAGACAGGAAGGAATTTTCTCAAGATCACAGAGCCAAGAGGTAGTGGAACCATGACTGGAGCCTGGCTGCACTGGTACCTGAAGTGACGACCCCACTCCCTGCTGGTGGGTGGGCCAGTGCAGTGTCCTCTGCATCTGGTTATTACCTCTGAGCCTCAGTTTCCTCCTCTGTAAAGTGGGGATAAGAAACACGACTACTCTTCAAACCTGTGCCCTGTGCCTTGCACACCACCTGCCCTCCCGGTGGGATTGCTGGGACTGATGGCAGGGCATCAGGCAGATTCAAGGGCTCTGAAAGCTTGGGCAGACTGTCTGGGGCAGAACAGTAAATATCATTTACCTAACTGATCTAGCTGACACAGGCAATGCCTCCTGCAGGCCAGCTGTCTTCACATTGAACACTCGTGTGCCCACGAGGCAGAGTGGCTGAGGACACCTGGGCAGGGCCAGACAGCGGGGCTCCACACTGGCAACACCTCTCGACCCTGCAACATGGACAAGTTCACCTCCATGTTTCAGTTTCCCAACCGTGACATCAAAGGATTATGGAAATCCAATGAATTAAAACATGGAAAAGCCCTTAGAACAGTGCCTGATTAAAAAAAAAATCCTTGCTAAATCTTATCAAAAGGCTCAATTTCATCTTTCCCTTCTAACTTCAAACATTGTGTCTTGGTCCATTTTGCCTGGTGTAACAGAACACCTGAGACTGGGGACTTTATAAACAACACGTTTATTCAGCTCATGGCTATAGAGGTTGGAGTATCCGAAAGCATGGCACTGGCATCTGGCGAGGACTTTTGCACCACGTCCTCCAGGCCAGAAGGGCAGGAGCGCACACTGGCAAGAAGGAGAGGGGCTGAAGTCACTGCTGAAAGAGCTCGCTCTTGCATTAACAAGCCCAGCCCCCGGTGACCACATTCATCCGCTCATTAGGGCGAAGCCTCAGGACCGCAACACCTCTCCTTGGGCTCTGCTTCCCAACACCACGCTATGGGGACCAAGATTCCAGCACATGCACTGTGCACACAGCACACTTTAGCCTCAATGCTCTGCCAGGTCCAGCTGCACCTGCTCTGAAAATGTTCTCAGAGCCACCAGCCAATTCCCATCTCCCCCTGCAACTCCCCAGGGTGTCCCTCACCTCTCCTGCCGTCCATCTGTCCCTGCTCATGACAGCTGGAGTGACCTTTCTGAAACACAAATGCAAAAATGCTCCACCTCTGCTCAGAACCAGTCACTGATTTCTCCTCCCTGTAGGACAACGCACACCTTCTTAGACTCCTGCAGCCTCATCCTGCCCTCTCTCAGCCTTGACTCCCTATATTCATCCATTCCCACTGTCCTGACTCCCTAAACTGCACCTTCACAGCCCCGTGCTTTCAGCACAGCCTTCCTGTGGCTGGATCACCCGCCAGATCCACTCTGCCCACTGACTTCCACCTCCTCCAACACAGGGAGCTCCTGCTTCCCAGCCACATGGCCTTCGGTAAGGGACTTATCTCAGGAGGCAGCAGTCTCATCAGCTGCAAACGGAATCAGTCAAGTACCAACCTCAGAGGACTGTGTGAGGTAACATGTAAAAGCGCTCCATGCATTGAACAGTGGCCTACAAGATCTAATACTCTGTGCCCTGTTCTGTGTTCAGACATTTGAGGAAGCAGGAAAAAACTTTCCATTGGTTTTTCTCAGTTTCTTGAAGTCTATGACACTAGAAAGTTTTAAACCGTGCTAAAAACTGGCACCCAATCATTAAAGTTTTTTAAAAATTCTTTTTTGTGTGCCATGTGTAGAAATAAAGTGTTTGATTTACATCTAGATGTCAGCCCAAAGCCTCATGTACTCATAGGTGGGGGTTCTGGGAGATACTTGGATCATGGGGTTGTGATTAGTCTACTGATGAATTTATTGCTAAATGTGAGCTTGGGAGGCGAAGCCCGGTTGAAGGAGGTGAGTCACTGGTAGTGTGGCCTGGAAAAATCTATCCCTCCATCCTTGATATCTTTCTCTCTCTCTCTCTCTCTCTCTCTCTCTCTCCCCCCTCTCTCTCTCCCTCTCTGTCTCCTGCCTGCCATGCCATGGACTGTTTCTCCTCCATGATGTCCCTCTGCCATGCCGCCCTGCCTTGGATCCAGCTGCCTATGGACTGAAACCCCTACGAACTGTGAGCCAAATAAACCTTTCCTCTTTTAAGTTGTGGGTGTCAGGTATTGCATCTCAGCAAAGAAAAGTAAGATAAAAAGTAGAACCAAAAAAAAAAGGATTAAAAAAAGAAAAGGAAAATCCGAACACAGTAACTATAAATCATGCTTGATGCGCAATAAAGAACTGGGTCAGTTTTGGAAAAGAGAGGCCCTTGGTAAGGAAGAAACACCTTTGTGGGTCCCTAGTCTGCCATCTCCCCACTGCCAAAGTGCCACTTTAGAAGCTTCCCCTCCCTTCTTTCTTTGAGCCCCGAAGCTTTCCTGCCACCCCATCTCCTGCCACCCACAGATGGGCTTGTCCAGGAAGGCCATGTGCAGGTGTAGCTGAAACCTCATTCAGCCAGGAAGCACAGTGTGCAACCTCAGCTTCATCCACCCAGTCCCACTGTGGGGAGCCCCTGCTATGAATTACTGGTATGCAAATGTGTAAGCGTGCTCCTGAGGAGAGGCTGAGGGCAGACCTCCAAGTCCTCCAGCTGCTCCAAGGGGAGCAGATGGACCAGAGATGAACCACAGATGCCAAGGTGGGAGTGCTCACAAACCCAGTCCCAGGAGGAGGGATGCTCCAGAGAGCCAGAGGACCAATGGAGGGGAGCCTAGTCCAGTAGAACGCTCTACAGGCCTGCACCCCCATCTCCACATCTATTGTTTCCCTCCATTTACCTGCTTGTTCTTGTTTTCTACATCATCTTCTCTACAGGGCAGCCCAGTACCCAGCCCATCCACATCCATGCAAGCCATCCGCACCAATCCAAAGCTGTCTCTTCCTAGAGCAAAGGTATGATTTGGTTATTACATCTCCCTAGGGCAGAGAATACTTTCACATAATACAAACTCTGGCAGCATTCTTGAAAGGTTGAAAGATGAAACAACACCAATGAAGTCCACAACCACGACCATGCCCTCCCTCCCATAGTGTCTCTGTCTCCCGGAGCCCTGGGCAGCACCTAGCCCAGTGATGGTGAACCTTTTAAAGCTTTCACTGATAACAAGCTGCCCACTGCAGCACCTGTGCCATAGGTTTGCCACCACTGTCCTGGCCGCACTGGTTCACTCTTCAGCACCACAGCGCTGTCCACTGCCCAGAGCTTGTTCTCCTAAAAGCTCAGGGCAAAGTCCTCTGAAGTCCCCTTTCCATGGCTTGTGTCCCTTTTTACTCACGGCAAGTTAGAGCAGAATTCAGCACTTTCCTGCTGTGGGTGCTCAGGGCCACACTTGCAAGATGTTGCTAAGGCCATTTGCAGGCTTGGTTGTGGCAAACAAACTGCACACTAATCAACTTTGAGCAGCACATCTGGAGAGGAGTTTGTCAGCTGACATGTGCGCTCGCAGCACATGGGCTCAGCACCAGTGGCTGCAGTGTCTTGCATTTTCCTGGTTTCCAATTGTCTCAAGCGCCACATTTGTGCCTCTTTTCCCTTCTCACTCCCATACTTCCTGACTACTCAGCATCAGTTTCAGCAGGTGCTTCTTAGCGTCCCTTATGCTCCAGAACTTTGCATATGACCCTCACATTTCCTCCAGAAAGACCCACTCTGGGCTTCTCCACATTGACCTAGGACTGGGACACATGACACTTTCACCAGCAGACTGTGATCAGATATGAAATGGGCCACATTTGAGCAGGAATTCCTGGTGACATCTCAGGCTGCTGCCGATGTCTTGTGTTCTTCTGTTCCTTCCACCTAGGTCTCAAAATGAGGCAACATGTTCAGCAGATCCAGCATCTGCCAGCAGCTAGGGCCAAAAGTATAGCCACCCACAGCCACATGCAGCACTAACAAGAAATAAACACAGGTGCTGTTGAGATCTTATGGTTGTGTGCCGGAACAAAGCAAATACACTGGCCCAGTGGGCTGATAATATGCTCTCACATTGCATTTGCTATGTGCATTGTTGTAAGAATTTTATGTATGTTGTCATCTACATTCCAGGGGGGAAATCCTATAAGCTATTATTCTTCTTCCCATTTTACAAACATAAACTTGTGTGGACAAAATTGGTGCACAGAGTAAGTGAATTGCCCGGATTACACCTCTAGTATGTGCAGCAATCAGGATGCAAACCCACACAGTGTGACTTCTAAATCCACATTCTTATGTCCTGCTTCCCTCCCAGCTTAAGAACTTCTAGTGGCTCCCTGTTCCCCTCAGGTGAAGGTCAGAGAATCCTATAACTCGGACCTGAATCATCTAACTCTTTCACTTGCTCAAGATCAAATAACTCAGTAGAGTCTGAGGCTGCCATTTCCATCAGCTTGGGTACATCCTGCCCGACTTCCAAAGCCACACAGAATCTGCCCACCTCCCCACCCATTCAAACTCCTACCAAGTGCTTCACCTTCTGATTTAGCTGTGTGGGGGCCCTCACCCTTTTGGTCATCTTCCTCCTGCCCAGGTCCCATCCCTGGTGTTCCCACCCGTCCCATGTGTCTCCCTGGCATTTAGCACCCTCTGTACCCAGGGACGCTACCTCCATGTTTCTGCCCATGCTGGATCCTCTCTACTGAGCTCCTCTGGCTCCAGTGCTTTGATGTAGTTTGTCCTTTAGCACCCTTAGCTTGTTTCCTGTGTGTATACTTCAAGCTCCTAAGGGACCTTGCACAGTCCAAAGAACAGAAGGGATGTGTGGCCAACACTGATCGTTAGCTGAAACTCTGAATTTTTATTTCCTCAAAGATTGGAGAAAAGAGTTTGGATGCTGGGGATTTAGCTCAGTGGTTCTGCTGCCTTCCTCGAAAGTACAAGGTCCCAAGTTCGATCCCTGGTACCAAAAAAAAAAAAAAAAAAAGAGTTTGGAGAAAGAACCTATGACCTGTCACTTACAATATGCCTGGCACACTCCTGTATGTGTTCCACACGTTAAGTCCTGACCAAGTTCATTACAAGAAACAAGCATTCAGGGCTAAAGTGAGAGTTGTGAGAGATGTCATAAGTCAGTATCACTTTTATGTTCCCTCTGAGATACTTTTTAAGAATTTGACTTAAACACAAAACTTTCCTTAGAATACAATACAGCCCACATCTCCCTTCCTGATCTGGGTGTTTTCTTCTCTACGCTGGATGACAGAAGCTCCCTTCTGGTAACCTGACCACTGGCAGGTTTGCACTGTGCTCTGCTGGGACACTCACATCTGCTTTTCTACCTCCACCAGACTTCACAGCGTTCATGACACATCATGTGACCGCAGGCACCTCCAACCCTTCGTGCACCTCCAACCCTTCGTGCACAAAGGGAGACCAAAGCCCACACCAGACGGGACCCCATCCTGGGAAGCAGGACCCCGGGCCTCCCAGGGCTGCCTGCACTCAGCACCTTAGAGAAACTAATTCAGTGACACAAATCACACTGAATGATCTAACGCCCACACATGGACACACAAACACACATTACACACCAGACACACAACCATTTACAAATACATACACACAGTGGTTTTCTCGGCAGGTGGAGCTACCCATCTGCTCTCCTCCTGAAGGTGCACTTGAATATAGATCCTTCCCCACAGCCTGAAGCAAGACTTGGATGTGCCACTAGGTGTCTTTGGACCTCAGGCCACTCTTGGGAAACAAGGATGATCCATCCCAGCTGCCTTCCTTGTGACAGGGTCTGAGAACCAAGTCAGCAATCCAGGAAGTCATTCTGAAGGCTTGGACTAGTGCAAGAGCAGGCGTGACCAGCGCTCCCTGGGTCCTATTTTTGTGGGGTTTTTTTGGTACCAGGGATTGAACTCAGGTCCTTGTGCTTGCGAGGCAGGCGGCAAAACCACTGAGCTAAATCTCCAGCCCCCTGGGTCCTATTTTTAATAGTAGTAACTGCAACCACAGTGGTGTACAAACGTCTCACACATACACACACACACACACACACACACACACACACACACACCGAGCAGGC